ATATGCATCCTCTAGGTCTAAGGTTGTCATCCATGAACCCTGAGTCATCAATTGAACCACCATGCGCCAGTCTTCCATCTGAAAATGAAGGGGTGAGAGGAAACGATTTAAATCTGAGATTTAATATGAAACGCATTCCTCCTGAAGGCTTCCTATAACAAAGAAGCGAAACAGAAATTGATCTGAGGATGGTGAGACGGCTATGATTGCTCCCTTCCTGAGCAAGCGCGTTATTTCTTTGTCACAAAACTCTGAGACATCTCGAGAAAAGACAGGTTCTGGAAGATAAGCTCGCGTAGGTGGGGGGGAGGTAAACGGTATAATATAACCTCGAATAGCCTCCAGGACCTCGGAATCCTGAATTAATTCTTCCCATTCGGGTAAAAAATTATATAGCCTTCCTGCTGTTCTTACATCTCCTATCGACGTGCTCGTGAGCGGGATCGAGGGCGGTAGTTCGAGTGGCGGCTCGACTTCTGTCTGGTCCCTGATTGGCGAGCCGTGGTCACTGACCGTTGAGCAGGGACCCTGGAGTTTCCCGAACGTTGTGACGATGTTTGGAGAGTCGGTCGTTGCTGGAGCGGTTGGTTGGTGAGTTTCACCACAGCCGCTTTGAGCCGGGATGGCCTTGGAGAGCTCACGTCCCGTTTTTTCCAAAGCCTGGGCTGATTTGACGCCTTCCTCAAAGTTCTCGCCGAACAGCCAATCATCAACCGTCGAGCGATTCGCTGCGGATTTGCCTATGAATGCAAGGCACGGCTTCACAAGAGCCTGTCTTGTTAGAGATAACCTGTATTGGTGATCTGCTAACAGGTGCATTCCGTCTGCCATTTTCGATACCGCTTCCTTTTCACTGGCCGTTAGCTCTCGCCGAGCTTTTAGCAAATCAGAAATGCCTGTGCCTATCGCGCTAAGGCAAGCTCCTACCTGTTTTTGCTCCTTAACCTGATAATCGTCCCTCTTTAGAACACTCTGACGCTTAGAAAGAGCCGAAATAACCTCTCCGTTCATTTTCGGAGGGCCCAAACATTGCAAATCGCCCTTAAGCTCATGTTTGGTTAAGAGCGCTGAGCGTAGCTCTTCCTTTAATCCCGAGCGGACCTCATTCTTCGTCGCGGATAGGATTATAGGATCCCAAGCCTCTGCACTCGAGGGTGGCTGCTCCAATCCAAATAGTTCACTTGCTAATAAGCACTCGTTCTCTTTATTAGAGTCGTTCGATTCAGGAAGGGGGTCGACAAAGGTCACGCTGCCACCTGCTAAAAGGAAAAAGAAAAAGAACGCCAGGTCAGATTACGCAGTCGGCTATGTCCCTTCTGTGCCTAAACGAAGGGACACACCTGGTTCGCTGCCCCGGTTCTTGAGAACCGTCTGCTCATCTGCCTGTGAATCGACCTCTGGAACGACGATTTCACTATCGTCAGGGAGGGATTGATCACATCCGTTTCCTCGCCAACTATCTGCCTCGACCCTGAAGCGCTCGTGGCGGTGTGGTCCTTCATAAAGGAGAATATCTCTCGCAGGACGGCAGCCAATTCATTCCCCTGCGACGGTGGGTCTAGTGATGTTCCGCGCGAACTCGACCTAACCTCGGAAGATCGCTCGCGGAACCTTTCTCTCGAAGAACGTGCTCGTTTACTCGAGCGATGACGAGATCTACTCCTATGCTTATGCTTAGGCATCTCGGTACTGCTGAAGACGACGTCTGGTACTACTGAAGACGATACACACCAAAAAAGGTGAAAGCAAACTGTTCGCTATGCGCAACAGAAACACAATGAAACAGATCCGTGCAGGGCGCAGGGCGCGAGCGCCAGAAGCGCCATCTTTTGGTTTTTATTGGATCTAAAGACTGTTGATAAATGCGTGATCAGGAGACACTACTACATAGTCCATCCGGACGAGATCACGAGGCATAATTTATGTTAGTTTCGTCCGATCCAGTAATAAGTTCCTTACGGATTTGTAAAGAAAAAAAAGTAAAAAAGTTAGGCAATGAGGCTATAGCCTTATTGAATCAAAACACCAATGACAGCTCAAGCGATGACACTGAGTAAAGCGACAAAAGAATGGATCAAGAGACTAATTAAAAAGTATCATAAATATTCCCAATTTAATTTACATAAATCAACAGTTTAAAAATATTAAAAAACAAAGAAAAATAATTAAAAAAATTAAAAAGTTTTTAATAAAAAAATAAAAAGTAAGAAACTTCTTCCATTTAGGCTGGTACCTTGACGAGGTGAAGGGGCTTAATTATGGGGCAT